GAGAGTTTCTCTGTCGAACGGGGCAAATCTCACAATTGGGGGTTCTCCTCACCTCTTCAGTCCGTTGACTGACTTCAGGGCTGCAGAGCGCGTTACCAAGGGGCACCAAGTGAGGTTGCAAAACTTTCCGGGAAGAGCCTTGGATAACTGCCGCCAGGATCATAAGGTAAGACGCCATCGGTGCTCTTTCGAGATCAGACAGGATTAATTTCAGAGAGACTGCTGGGCTGACAAAGGCTCCAATCAGTTTTGCTGCTTTCACACACTGTTAAAAAAAAAGAAAAAAAAAAGGAACCCATGCATACACAAAAGCTGACCATGTTATAAGATGCTAAAGACCAAATGAACTCTGGTGCTCTTTTTTAAAAAAAGAATGGAGGATGACAACTGTTTTCTGTTTTCTCATGCTTCAGAAATTGCCTTGCAGGGCCTTCTGCTCCTTCCCTCATTCACAATTCCATGCACGAGGAGACGGTTTCATTCAGGTGTACCAAGAAAGCTCAAAATGAGCTTCTTTCAGCACAACTTCTCAAACTTCCCCAAGTATTAATGGAACTTCTCTGTCCCTGTCAGGCAGAGGCCCACACAGGATTTACGGTATCCCTTTCACACAGCTGTTCCTCTGCCAGCTTTGAAGAAACAAAGAAAAGATTCTCCCTTAAGATGATTGTTTATGGGCTCTAAATTGTGCTTGGAGAAATGTGCCTTATTTCCTTCTCTTTCAAAGAGGAAGAGAAATGGTGGAGCAGCCGAAGATTGAACAACAGGGAAGAGGTCTCTTTCTTCTGGCTGTTAACAAGGGTCTCAAAGAACGTGCATCTTAGGCACCTGCGTCTTGGATCCTGGTTTGATAGGATCAATAATCCTGACCACAGCTCACAGTTAAGCCAATTGTTATGTGACAGGAATAGGGGAAGTTGTCTTATAGGGAGTGAATCTCAGCATTGTCCCCACTGACCTGAAGAGTTCTCCAAGGATTCAGAGAGGAATTTTTTTTTGCTAGTTCCTACCTGGAGATGCTTAGGAGTCGAATAAACAGAATATAGAACTCAAGCTTAAAACTTTGGCCTCTTCTTACCTATAACGGTCAACAGATGCCTCCAAGAATGGCCTCCAGTGACATAATTCTGCGATTGTTAGTCTCACATCGTTTCTGCTGACAGATACAATGTCTCCAGAAAGCTATGAGCCTGTCCTAAGGACTAATCATTGACAGCCTTTTCTGAAATCCCATATGGATCATGAAAATCCACATTCATCTTTTTTCCAGAAGTGAATGGCTGCTAGATTCCCTGACAGTCCACTTAACCGTTTACAATTCAGTAAGAATTGTATTCTTACTGAATACAATTTATTCAGTATCATTGAACCATTATCACCATATCATATCAACCATATCAACCATTATCACCATTTACCATGTTAGGAAATGGAAAAATGGGTCCTCTCTTTCTTTGGGTTTTGCTCTTTTCTCCCTAGAGCAGTGTTGTCCAAACTTGGCCACTTTAAGATGGGTGGACTTCAACTCCCAGAAT